TGTGACGACCATTCTATCCGTTTATATTTTTGTGTCAGTGTTAACACGCATACTGAACCCCCATAATTTTTATAAAAAATATTCGTTTATCGTTTCTGGCCATCATTCGGACAATGAATATTAATACAGCGACATGCAAGTAACACAAGGATCTTTAGTGATAAAGGACTGCTTAATAGTAATACAGAGTATAGGCAGAATGAACTCTGACCCGGACAATTTAAAACCCCACTTAAAAAAATAAAACCAAACATAAACTCCTTTGCAACCTTTCCTACCTTCAAATGTGTAAATTTATCATGAGTATCAGTGGTTGAAATAGAGCTGCACCAGAAGGATATGGAGATGAATTAAAATAAGATAAAAATGAATGAACTATGATGTCTCCAGAGAGGGATCTATTTCAGAAGGTGCGGTGGGCGGCATTAGACAGTGCGGAGTTGCGCACTATTTCCGATGAGTTAGAAAAGTGCGTTTGATTCTGCAGCGGTCACAAATAAGCTGTGCCAGCTTTCAGCTCGAATGAGTGCAGCCATGTTGTTGTGGACTTTGGTCGCTGTTAGAAATAATCATTCCTTTCAATTTAGCGTGGGTCGCAAGAGCTATCCCGGACGTTCAGGACTACCAGAGCTATCTCGGACGTCCATGACGTACAAGAGAAGAAGTAGTCGAGCCCAAGAGTGTCCTACAGAAACAATTTCAGATAGATTTGATCTTAACACGCATTATATATCCTGCAGGGCAGGATTAAGACGAAATTGGTGCATGGGCATTCGACACGCCAGACAGACCAAGAGTGCCTTAATGGCTTGACACTCAACGAGCCAACATTCAAAAGCAATTGTCTGTAAAGTACACTTAATGCAGAAAGGAATAAACCAGATCACCTTAACCCAGGCATATCGTCAGTCTAACTCCTGCGCTAGTGCTCTTTGCGTACATTGTGGTTTTTCGAAACTTGGCTAGTGAGAATTCTTGTATCGTGTCAGTGCAGTCAAGGCTCCACATACCATCGGGCATTGGACACCATCATGCACAGCTAGATGCGCAGCCCAATCTCGAAGTTTGGAAATGTCTGAGAAAGATTCAACGATGATTAAAGCCTGTGCTTCGTAACCTCTGCTGCTCATCAGCCACCAGCGTGTCTTCAATATGAGAAATATGCTCAACGCCAACAAAACCTATACCACGTCATTGTGGATTTCAAGAAAGCATTCGACCAGGTTTGGCATACTGCTTTATAGGCCACCATGAGACACTACACCAACACAAACCTAACCAGAATGATATGCAGCTTCTATGATAAGGCCACCAGTGCAGTCTTCTTCAACAAAAACATCAGAGAATGGTTCAAGACTACGGTTGGAGTAAGACAATGCTGCTTGCTCTCCCCCACTTTGTTCAACATCTTCTTAGAGAAAATTATGTCAGATGCTCTGGAAGCGCATGAAGGGACAGTCAGCATTGGTGGCAGAACAATCACCAACCTACGCTTTGCGGACGACATAGAAGTGCTGGTTGGGAACGAAGAAGAGCTGGACAACCTGGTAAAGCGTCTCGTTAAGACTTCGTCGTCCTTTGGCATGCAAATCAATGCAGAGAAGATACAACTGATGACAAATAACACCACCGGCATCGTCCCTGAAATTAAGGTCGAGGAGGAAAGACTAGAGACAGTAGGCAGCTTCAAATACCTAGGAGCCATTGCCTCGGAAGAAGGCTCTAAACCCGAACTGATGTCCAGGATTGCCCAGACCACAACAGCACTAAAGAGGCTCAAGAATATGGAACGACAAAAACATATCCCCCAGCACCAAAATGTGGCTGATGCGCTCATTAGTCCTCTGACTTTTATATGTATGCCTGCGATTCCTGGACATTAACAACAGAACTAGAACGGAAAATAAAGACGATGGAGATGAGATGTTTCAGAAGCATTCTTGGCATAGCTATAAGGACAATATCTCCAATGATCAAGTGAAAGAAAGGATTCGTTAGGCAATTGGGCAGTACGATGACCTTCTGGTGACTGTAAAAAAGCGTAAACTACAAAGGTATGGCCACGAGACAAGGAAACAAGGGCTGGCCAAAGAAATCATGCAGGGCACAACGAGAGGAGGGATAAGAAGAGGAAGGCAAAGAAAGAGATGAGAAGATAACATCAAAGAGTGGACGGGACTAAAACAAGGCGATGCTGTGCGAAGTGCAGAAAACAAAGACGAACGGAGGAGGATAGTTCACATGTCATCTGTGGCGCCCCAACGGTCCAATGACTAAGTGACATGATGATGATGCCGATGATGTGTCTTCAATGTCATCTGGATACGAGATTCTTATCTTTCTCCTCGATCTACTCGGTGCTCAATGACGTTAGCCCCCGAGAGAAATCCGAATGTTTTACAAATATGATTATACGCCTTCATCCACTGTCCCAGTTCAGCTAACGGACTGTCGATCATGACCAGATATGTCTGAGTTTTGAACCTTTACACACAAAGATCCACATATTTACCAACACATTCATCCATCCACTCATCCATGTTTCCCTTCACGCATCCCTCCACGCATCCCTCCACCCATAGTTATAGAGTACTTAACGTATACTTTATCATTTGCAATGACATAAAAAAAATTCTCAATAATTCTAAATTGCAGAGTAAAAATGTTTATTTGAAAGTCTGCACACGACTCAAAACACATCTCTGTATTTCATATATCATTAATATAGAACTAGTGCTGTCTAGCAAACATGGAAAGTCATTAATTATAATTCTAAATTGCAGAGTAAAAATGTTTATTTGAAAGTCTGCACACGACTCAAAACACATCTCTGTATTTCATATATCATTAATATAGAACTAGTGCTGTCTAGCAAACATGGAAAGTCATTAATGTAGAACTAGTGCTGTCTAGCAAAACATGGAAAGTCATTAATATAGAACTAGTGCTGTCTAGCAAAACATGGAAAGTCATTAATATAGAACTAGTGCTGTCCAGCAAAACATGGAAAGTCATTAATATAGAACTAGTGCTGTCTAGCAAAACATGGAAAGTCATTAATATAGAATTAGTGCTGTCTAGCAAAACATGGAAAGTCATTAATGTAGAACTAGTGCTGTCTAGCAAAACATGGAAAGGGTCAAACTGGCCTATCACAGTTTAGAGGAAGGAAATCATATAATGATTTAACATGTATATTTAAGGGAAAGAACTTATGATATTCCATCATTTCTTTTTTCTACTCTCCCTTTTTATTAAGTTCTTTTTTTCCATTCAAAATTAGCCTTTAAAAATACCAAATGCATAATTTATTTCCCAATTCTCTTTGTTAGTAGATTTAAATTAAACAACCCTAAAAACATAGTTTTTCCTATCAATTATTTATAAAATGTACTATTGAGAAATTAGGGTGGGAAAGAGGGGGGGGGGGTAAAACAATGTGAAGAAAAAAACATGCATACAAGAAACGCACTTTATGAGAATCCCATTTAGATCCAGCACCAGTGCAAACCACACAACTCACGAATTATGGCCTTCCAAAAAAAAATGAATCACACAATAATGCCACAAACACAACTCATCAATTATGGCCTTCCAAATAAATCACACAATAATGCCACCAACACAACTCATCAATTATGGCCTTCCGAATAAATCACACAGTAATGCCATTGCAGCTGGAAGAGACCAGTACCCAAAGTAGTCCATTGTATTAAAAAAAATAAATGTCTTAGTATGTTGTGTTGCTGTTCATCGACTAAGGACCGTAGGCCAGAGGCGTAGCTAAAGCGGGGGGGGGGGGCAGGGTGGACAGCTTTCACTGGTCGCCAGACTAGTTAGGGGCGCCAAAATGTGCTTTGATATTTTTGTATTGATGAAAATAATAGTTAGGGAGTTGAAGAAAGAGAGGGGGGGGGGGGGGGCAGGGTGGACAGCTTTCACTGGTCGCCAGACTAGTTAGGGGCGCCAAAATGTGCTTTGATATTATTGTATTGATGAAAATAATGATTAGAGAGTTGAAGAAAGAGAGGGGGGAGCTTTAAAATGAATCGTGTCCCCGGGCGCCAAACACTCAAGCTACGCCTCTGCCGTCAGCCACACGCTTGAGAGGCTTTTAAATTATTATTTTTTTTTAAATTAAAGATAAGATTCTCTGAAATCATGACCAGAAACATCTTTAGATGATTAAATGAAATCAAAGCAACCGCTTTCACTGTGTCAAACTTCTAGCATGCCGAAAAATTCCATTCTAAAATTCTAGTTGCAGCGGAACCTCGGAAATGCACGTAGCCGCCCTGCGTGACTTCGCAAACCAAATGATCGGACGAATCAATGTATAACGATTCTAATGGAATCGATTTCGTAGTTATTTTTTAAAAATCCANGCTTTGATATTATTGTATTGATGAAAATAATGATTAGAGAGTTGAAGAAAGAGAGGGGGGAGCTTTAAAATGAATCGTGTCCCCGGGCGCCAAACACTCAAGCTACGCCTCTGCCGTCAGCCACACGCTTGAGAGGCTTTTAAATTATTATTTTTTTTAAAATTAAAGATAAGATTCTCTGAAATCATGACCAGAAACATCTTTAGATGATTAAATGAAATCAAAGCAACCGCTTTCACTGTGTCAAACTTCTAGCATGCCGAAAAATTCCATTCTAAAATTCTAGTTGCAGCGGAACCTCGGAAATGCACGTAGCCGCCCTGCGTGACTTCGCAAACCAAATGATCGGACGAATCAATGTATAACGATTCTAATGGAATCGATTTCGTAGTTATTTTTTAAAAATCCATAATAAATCGTCTTGTGTTCGGGGGAACATGAGTTTTAAAAAGAGTTCCTAGGGTTTTAAAACGAAAAAAACTAGGTATAACTTTAGTATTTTCTACATCTAAAGAGAAAGAGAGAGAGAGAGAAAGAGAGAGAGAGAGAGAGAGAGAGAGAGAGAGAAAGAGAGAGAGAGAGAGAGAGAGAGAGGATGTTCTGATTTCACGTTAACGCAAAAGCCACCTCATTCCTCGAAGAATCTGGAGCAGGGCGCGTGATCTGGGATTCCCACATTGTTTAGTTTGTGTGTGTAGTGTGTGACTGATCGAGCTGTCGGATAAAACTGTACTCTAATACAACAGGTAGGCAATACATAACAACTGATATTTGTGATGATAAACATTAAAATTTTTCATTTCACTCCGACTCTTAACGTTACGGAGTTGCTTCTAGTTATGTGATACAACCCGATCTACTTCAACCCGTGGTTGAGGTATATTTAAAAAGAAAAGTTTCTAAACTTCTCCTCGGACCATGTCAGCACCACGTACAATGTCAATCCCACATACCATATCAGAACACCATCTTAACACCACATAACATGACAACGTATCAACGCCACACACCATGCAAACACTTTGAGTCAACACCACATATCATGTTGACACCACTTATCACGTCAAGACTAAATACAATTTCAAGGTCATGCAACATGTCAACACCCTATGGCAACCCCAAACACCATGTCAACCCTGCACCACATTTCAAACTACACACCATGTCAATGCCACATACCATGTCAACATCACTTATCACGCCAAGACCAAATACCATGTCAGCACCGCATGCTATATTAAAACTACTTTTCACGACAAGCCCAAATACCATTTCATCACCAAATACCATTTCAACACCAAATACCATTTCAACACCAAATACCATTTCAACACCAAATACCATTTCAACACCAAATACCATTTCAACACCAAATACCATTTCATCACCAAATACCATTTCAACACCAAATACCATTTCAACACCAAATACCATTTCATCACTAAATACTATTTCATCACCAAATACCATTTCAACACCAAATACCATTTCAACACCAAATACCATTTCAACACCAAATACCATTTCATCACCAAATACCATTTCAACACCAAATACCATTTCAACACCAAATACCATTTCAACACCAAATACCATTTCAACACCAAATACCATTTCATCACTAAATACTATTTCATCACCAAATACCATTTCAACACCAAATACCATTTCAACACCAAATACCATTTCAACATCAAATACCATTTCATCACCAAAAACTATTTGATCACCAAATACCATTTCAACACCAAATACCATTTCAACACCAAATACCATTTCATCACTAAATACAATTTCAACACCAAATACCATTTCAACACCAAATACCATTTCATCACCAAGTACCATTTCATCACTAAATACTATTTCATCACCAAATACCATTTCAACAACAAATACCATTTCATCACCAAATACTATTTCATCACCAAATACCATTTCAACACCAAATACCATTTCAACACCAAATACCATTTCATCACTAAATACAATTTCAACACCAAATACCATTTCAACATCAAATACCACATAATAACTCAACACTATTCACCCTGTCAAGACTATAAAAACACTTTTTACCATGTCATAAACAAATGCCATGTCAACACCAAATGCCATCTTGACCCACTTATGTCATATTAGTTCCACCCTAGCTTCTAAATTTTCGGTAACCTCCAACTTAACCTTCCGACAATCGTAACCTTTCTTAGCTGCTCAGACCTATCCATTACCGCCTGGCCCCACACAATGTAATATTCATAGGCTATCGGATAACATCTTCTCATTCCATTTTATAATGCAGAAGCACACACGTCACACATGTCGGAACACTGTATGCTTGGTCTTTCAAAATACTTAGAATTTTATGAGCCAGCGCCATTGTTGAAATGTGCGCCTTAATTTATTCCTACGGCAATATCAAGTATGCCAGGTGTTACTGAAAAAAAAAAGAAATATATTCTGCCCATATATCAGATTATAAACACATTGACCTAGAATAATAGTTTCAAACTTACCATCCGAGAACATGCACACCTGAAAGAACATTTTTAATGTGTTTTAGGCATTTTAAGAAGATTTAAAAAAATAAATTTCTCATTGTCCACTATTGGGAGTCTTTAGCAGTACATTTTTGTAGCTCTGATAAAGACCTCTGTGTACCAAATTGTTGATATATCTGGTAATGACCTCTGTGTACCAACTTAGTGGTATCTCTGGTACATGACTTCTGTGTACCAACTTAATGGTATCTCTGGTACATGACCTCTGTGTACCAACTTTGTGTTATCTCTCGTACATGACCTCTGTGTAAATTTTTTATTGGTAACTTTGTAAATGAGTTCTGTGTACCAAATTATTGGTAGCTTTGGTAATGACCTCTGTGTATCAAATTATTGGTAGCTTTGGTAATGACCTCTGTGTACCAAATTACTGGTAGCTCTGGTACATGACCTCTGTGCACCGACTTAGTGGTATCTCTGGTCATGACCTTTGTACAAACTTATTGGTAGCTTTGGTAATGACCTCTGTGTACCAAATTATTGGTAGCTTTGGTAATGACCTCTGTGTACCAAATTATTTGTAGCCTCGGTAATGACCTGTGTGTACCAAATTGTTGGTAGCTTTAGTAATGACCTCTGTGTATCAAAATATTGTTAGCTTTGGTAATGACCTCTGTGCACCGACTTATTGGTATCTCTGGTCATAACCTTTGTACCAAATTATTGGTAGTTTTGGTGATGACTTCTGTGTACCAAATTATTGGTAGCTCTGGTACCACCTCTGTGTACTAAATTAATGGTAGCTTTGGTAATGACCTCTGTGTACCAAATTATTGGTAGCTTTGGTAATGACCTCTGTGTACCAAATTACTGGTAACTTTGGTAATGAACTTTATGTACCAAATTATTGGTAGCTTTGGTAATGACCTCTGTGTACCAAATTGTTGGAAGCTTTGGTAATGATCTTTGTGTACCATATTATTGGTAGCTTTGGTAATGAACTATGTGTACCAACTTAGTAGTATCTCTGGTAATGACCTCTGCGTATCAACTTAGCGATATCTCTGGTACATGACCTTTGTACCAAATTATTGGTAGCTTTGGTAATGACCTCTGTGTACCAAATTAATTGTAGCCTTGGTAATGACCTGTGTGTACCAAATTGTTGGTAGCTTTTACATGTCCTCTGTGTAACAAATTCTTGAGAGCTCTTGTACATGACCTCTGAATACCAAATTGTTGGTAGCTTTGGTAATGACCTCTGTGTACCAACTTAATGGTAACTTATACAAGCAGATGTTAAATATAAACTGGATTTCGCATGCATACATTACAGGATTGTATTCATGTGTGTGTGTGTGTGTGTGCGTGTGGAAGGGGGCTCAATTATCGATTTATTTACTGGTGTCATTTTATATTCAATGTCTAGAACCCCTTTTGCAACACAGTAAAATAAATGGTTATAATTGATTTAGTGATGGCATTTCATATGTCATTTATATTTTCTATAAAATCTTTAATTGCCCCCATCTTATGTCATATATATAACCCTAACCCTATACTAGCTGAAGTACCCGTTCAATGCCCGGGCTCTGTACATGAGGTAAGACAGAGAGTCGACAAAAACATGACCCGTCTCCCGTAAAGGCACACAATGGTGAGGTACCATGAAAGCGTCAATTGCAATGAGCTCCATGTATATTGTATTTGTACTGTAATAATTATCACGTTCTAGCAAAAGATGTCAGTTATTGGGATTTAGCCTTAGTATATCTATATATCTATATATATATTATATATATATATATATATATATATATATGTATGTATATATGGATGTGTGTACGTTTATTTTTATTCACACACATGCGCAATGCGCAAAGGAAGTTAGGAAGACGTTGATTTAAAAAAAATATATTTTTAGCACCTGAATTGTTAACAAATGCCATCTCATTTTTTTTCAAATCCACCGATATAAAATAATCGAATACGTTTTGCGCCCTACGTCATACCCAGCCCTTTCCTTCACACACGAAGGGCTGTCATGAGATGGCGCCACCTCTCACGGATGTTATTGCCAAGAAGGACGATTCTCGGAGAAAAAAAAAATTCGGTTACCGATCTTTTCGGCAGGCTAACGGGCGGAGCCATGTTTCAAAGATGCGAGGACGTCTATTAAAATACCCACGATCACCATAGAAAATAGCTTTCAAAGCCTTGTTTACATAAGGAACTTTTATGTTGTTCCCCTCATGTTCGTACCTGCACCTTCGTATCGTGCGGGCAACGAGAAGCCAGGGCTGCAATGTCCGTTGTTTGCAGCCGGTGAGGAAGCGACTACTTACTCCCACCATGTTAGTTAAGGATATTTTCATTGAAACGTTATAGGCTCTGCAAACACGAGAAACCTGGTGTAGGAGAATACAGATGCGCCAAGCGACACCCTGTAGATATGTCATGTCACAACCAATGAAAACCATCTCTTTGATTTGATTCGCTAAGTCACACCCTATGGATAAGCTGGGCCATACCATAATATAGATACGCCAAGCCACACAATATGGATAAGCCGGTCATACCATAATATAGATACGCCAAGCCACGCCCTATAGTTACACCAAGCCACGCCCTATAGTTATGCCGAGCCATACCCTATAGCTACACATGTTTAGAACTCTAACAAAACGCTATAACAATGCTGCCATTGTGTATTGATCTCGGCACGCTAAATACGGCTAGCCAAGGGGCGGGCTAACTTTTTACCTAGCAATAACCTCCAAATATATTTGTTTACACCGACTGTACACACGATTTGAAGGAAGAAACTTCTTATGCTGTTTAGATTCAAAGTGGTTTATTGAATCAATTTTTAGAGAGAATGCAATAGCCGACATAGAAAGTACATTATTCATTCATCATTCTATAACATAAATTAATAAATAAAACCTCAACATGGAAAAAAAATAAGATTTCGTTGAAAAAAATGCTCACTTAATTTGCGTAGGAAAGATGTCTTTTCTTTTAATCCAATAACATCAAAATCTGGGGCTTTTCTTTTGGTTCCATTTCGATACACTTCGAGACTGTCTTTAGGGGTTCTAGCATTCACTTCTATGCTCTGCTTTCACGTTTATTTGAGTAGAAAATCATCGTTTTCAAAGGCAGGTTAAAAAAAAAAATTCATCAACTTTTTTGACTGCTTCCGGGGCGTCCTCACAATGTAACACCCTCACAGGTGGATGCCACCCTCACAGGTGGATGCCACCCTCTCAGTGGTTATACACCCTCACAGGTGGATGTCACACTCACAGTGGTTATTCACCCTCACAGGTAGATGTCACCCTCACAGTGGTTATGTTGTTGTTCGTCAGTCGATCATCACACTTTAATCATCAGATTTGTGCTAGTTCTGTTTGTGGTGCGCAGATGGCTAATGAGGCCGATTCTGGCACGAAATTTTCTTGTGCAGTAGGTGCAGGGGAATGATGGGGCATCTCCGGCAGCACAGTCAGACCGGGCCTTCCTGGCATGTCTCTTGCGCTGTGCAGCCGCTGTTCTGCCAACTTCATGTTGCATGGAGCTCCTGTTTAAAAGTGGAACGCTATGATACTCGATCCTTTGCTTCTTCCTCCCTCGTGTCTGGGTTTATGTCGAACGCTTTCAGTGAGGCTTTTAGGTTGTCTTTAAAACGTTTTTTCTTGTTCCGCTTTCCTTGTTCAAGGTCACCATAGAAAGTTCTTACAACGTGTCCCGCCCAGCGAAGCTGTTACTTCATTAAGATGGTAAAGATGCTGGGGAGACCTACCTGTGCAAGCACCTCAGCGCCTGGGACCCTGTCCTGCCATTTAATGTTGAGGATTTTTCAGAGTCTTGTTGTTTGAAAGTGGTTCAGCATTCTTGCATGGCGTTGGTAGACCGTCCACGTTTCACAGGCATAGAGAATGTTGGGAGAAAAGTCGCCTTTTACACTTAGTGGTCATACACCCTCATAGGTGGATGACACCCTCACGGGGTATGAAACCAAATGAAAATTAGTAAATTTCCCAGAGCTCAATCGATTCAGTTTCGCAACACAGTTTTAATTCAAGGGCAGAGTTCCAACTGTGTCCAGGCAAGTGTACCACCAGAGCAGGTCGCCATGAGCGCAGGGTGTCACCGGAGCAGGATGACTCGTGGGAGGTCCGTGGATGGGCCAGGACGAGTTGACACCATGAGCTGACACCATGAGTTGACACCATGAGTTGACACCATGAGTAGACACCATGAGTTGACACCATGAGTTGACACCATGAGTTGACACCATGAGTTGACACCATGCGTTGACACCATGAGTAGACACCATGAGTTGACACCATGAGTTGACACCATGAGTTGACACCATGAGTTGACACCATGAGTAGACACCATGAGTTGACACCATGAGTTGACACCATGAGTAGACACCATAAGTTGACACCATTAGTTGACACCATGAGTAGACACCATGAGTTGACACCATGAGTAGACACCATGAGTTGACACCATGAGTTGACAGCACTGGGGGGAACCAGTTCTTGCGACGCCACTGAACGCGATCAAATTTACGCCCACGCAAAAATAACGTCTATGAAACGAGACTCAAACACCAGCTGCTGAATCACTAGTCATCACTAGTTAACACAAGTAACTACTAGTAACCTCAAGTTGCCACAAGTAACTACTAGTAATCACAAGTTACCACACATAACCACTAGTTACCACAAGTAACCACAAGTAACACTAGTTACCACAAGTAATCACAAGTAACACTAGTTACCACAAGTAATCACAAGTTACCACAAGTAGCAACTAGTAACCTCAAGTTACCACAAGTAACTACTAACAATCACAAGTAACCACAAGTAACCACAAGTAACCACAAGTAACAACTATTTACCACAAGTAACCACTAGTAACCACAAGTAACCACAAGTAACAGCTATTTATCACAAGTAACCACAAGTAACCGCTAGTTACCTCAAGTAAACACAAGTAACCACAAGTTACCAAAGTTACCACAAGTAATTACTAGTAATCGAAAGTAACCACAAGTAGCCACTAGTAACCACTAGTTACCCCAAGTAACCACAAGTTACCACAATTAACCACTATTAACCACAAGTTACCACAAGTAACCACTAGTTACCACAAGTAACCACTATTAACCAATAGCTACCACAAGTAACCACTAGTTACCACTAGTAACCACAAGGTATTGGGTGTGTATCACACAGGCCAGGTGCTTAATTGCCAGAGAAAAATGTCACGCTTCAAACATAATTTTATTCATATCTATGGCGCCATTAATCATTACCACATTGTTACCCTTTGACAGGGGGGGGGGTACTTTACCCTCGTTCGCCGACCAATAGGTCAGACTGAAACAAGACACTATTTACAAGCAGATATGGGGATGTGGGTGGAAGAGTGGGGTATGTTTCATTCACTTGGTCTTGAATTATTTCAATTGAATTTTGAAACACAAACGTGTTCCGTGTTTTTTCAGAATGCATGAATTTGTAAACCGTTCCAAAGGTAGTCGACATATTTTGTGGGACGATCTTTTGTGCACCGGGCGTTAGTGGCAACGGGAAACTTTGATGCCAGTCCACCCCTTCCTCTTAAGAAACGAACATGGAAAGACCCATACACTTGGTGTTGCAGATAGAGGAATTCTAAGTTAGGAGCTATCTAATTCTTTATTGGTGTTATTTTTCAAGCATTTCTCCAGGGGGTGGGGATGTCCCCACCCCTTCCACGGAGCGAAATGAGTACAACCATAAAATATAATGCCATTTCATGAACACGACTAAAGTGTCTTTAAAAAAAAAAAATTGAAAAGAATACTAACGGGCGCATTTAAACGATTACAATTAGTGGAACCCATGAAATATCGCTAAACTCGATACATTTGCTGATTCGAATATTTAAGTCTAATCTTTTCGGATGCTTGTACTATTCGAATTTAAAAATCGAGCTGTTTCGGAAATTGGCTTCTCCTCATTACAAGCCGGAGTCTTACTTTACGGTGTTCGCATTAGAAAGTTGAAGTGTTTAAAACTTCGCATGAACATTTCAATTAACTTAAAATTGGAAAATGTATATTTTGCTTTTATACGATTTACCTCAGATGGTAATAAACAAATAAATATGTGACTTTTTTTTCTAATAATCTCCTGGCTTACAATTATGCCGTTCAAATACGATTTATAAGATTGAACCATTTTAAAAAGCCCATGACAATGTGAAGAACTTTATGAAAAAAAAAACAACAACAATATTTATTTACTTTTGGTCAATGGTAAAATGTGGAATTATTCAGAAACGGTAATTATTATATGTAAGTTTTTTCCCCATTTTGCATTCAGCATGTAAAATTATGTAAGCTTTGCTTTTTGGGATGGAAAACTTGTTTGGGAAGGAATTTTCTTATATGCTAAAAATTCATTTGTTCATTAACTAGTTTATCCCAAAAAGAGTTTAAATAAAAAATAAAAAAAGCACATTAATATTTAGTAATATACGTAACATTTAAAAAAAAATATTTGACCAGGTCCAGCGGAGCCGTAGATGGACTTTTCGAGTTCCCCACCCCTGCCACTTTTTCGTTTAGCCCCCCCCCCACCCCACCTTGCATTGAAAGTTGATAATTTCAAAAGTCACAAATTTAAGCCCCAAAATAGCCAAGGCCCCCTGCAGCCCAAACGATTACTGAGGTCGAGTTACAACTAAATTTTTAACTAGCATCTCTCCCGTCGCTCTCCGATTAAGCGTAGAAGGATGTTAAACTGAATTCAAGTATGTTCTCAAATGCATACTTCCATTTTAAATTTATAAAAAAAACATCTCTGGGGACTATAAAGATTAAATGGGCGAGACTATGCTAGGGCAAGAAAGCATACGTTTAAGGGAGCTACAGTTTGAATGAATTTATTTCATGTTGAGCTCGGGCGGAGTTAGATTTGTCCCAGATAGTTATTATGGTTACATGTGGCACCTCACAGTCAAAAGTCTGAAATACCCCTTCATAAATTGTCTGTAAAAAAACCCCACCATATTCAAGTATGCTATGCGCCAAAATGCATCCCTACACTTTGAATTTATCAAACATAATTTAAATGGACCACTGCACCCCGCTTTTGCTCGAGAATCAGTCCATCGATTGTAGACAGTGCTAAGCGCAAAGGAGAATGAATATCCATTCTGTCACAATTTGTCATATTAATGCTCATGGACGAAAAAGCCCGTTTTGCTGAAGTCGTGTGGAGGAAATGTGAGAAGAAATTTCAAGGTAGTTTCAGCATGTTATGGATATTCTGCGTTGCCATGAATCCACAAAGATGTTAGTGATGTCATGACATGTGGCGAAAACCATCTTCATTCCTTCGTCAACAGCTAGGGCCGTCAGCGTATCTTATACACTCTCATTCAAATGAGCCTTTAAGGATCCACCCAGTTTCTATCCGTGGATACTATTTACTTGGAAATTATAACTCAAAGTGTTCAGTTGTGAAATTTCGTATAGATGTATCACCAGGCCCAACTCGTACATCATGTGATGGCTGATGCTAAGTTGGGAAACTTCGTATAGATGTATCACCAGGCCCAACTCGTACATCATGTGATGGCTGATGCTCAGTTTGGAAACTTCGTATAGATGTATCACCAGGCCCAACTCGTACATCATGTGATGGCTGATGCTCAGTTGGGAAACTTCGTATAGATGTATCACCAGGCCCAACTCGTACATCATGTGATGGCTGATGCTAAGTTGGGACACTTATGAAAACGATTTTCTGATACCCGAGTCTTCTATGCAACTAGCTCTCGTTTATGATCATAGCTTTTACCAGCCATTGTGAAGCACACCGCCATCTTGGCTTGCATGCATGTGTTGAGATCATTCAGGCTGACAAAGCTATCTGCCAAGTAAGCCAACTTGGCTTTCTAATCCCTAGTTCCAAACATGCCAGACTAATCTGTTGTTTTTTTTTTTTGGTTTGTTTGTTTTGTTTTTTTGTTTGTTCAGAAATTCGTCAAGATCCCTTCACAATTCAAAAACGCTTGGATAAAACTTCCCCTCTCCATGTAATCGCATGATAAGGTAGATAAGCGAACCAAACTCCACGAATTTAGGTAATCAAAGTTCATTTCCTCATTCGTTGATTCAGTCCCCTTGTCCTACTGTCACGTACGCACGTTGTCTGGCATATCTCTTTTTTTTTCATAGAAACATCACCTGGTCCAGGTCCTGGGTTTTCCAGTTTACAAATGATCTCTTAATGCCTAAAATAATGCCTATTTAATTATTAAAGTGGTTTGTCCTTGTTTGTGTTCAATCTTACGATGGATAGGTTTAACATGTCTAAAATTTCTTATCTGGCACACAGCGTCAGCCTCACAGGCTCCTCTCGATTATTTGAAGTTTGTTGTTTAAACATTACGCAAACATGAAGCTTTTCTCTCAGTTTCATGACTAATGTTGCGCAGACCGACAACGCAAGGCTTGCGGGCCGTCGCCGGTCTGCGGTCTACCATTTGGGGGAACGCTGCTCTATAACGCTGGTTTGATTTTATTTTATGCACCAAAGTCCAAGTTAGCATTTAATGGAGGTCAAGTTGATTCTTCATTCAATGAAAAAAAAAATCCGAAAAAAGAATTAAGCTTTTTTCTTTTAGGGATGTGTAATGAGGCAGAATTGACTCAGTGAAACGAAATAAAATAGCAACGCGTCTCTTCACGCTTTAATTACAAAGACAAACCTTCTTAGGCAGTCCCAAGTTTCTTTTTATGTTGTCGCTTGCTGGCGAAGGCCTTTGGCCGAAACCTTCGTTGTTTTGTTTAGGTTTCTTTCAAGTTTTCTAACAACAAAATGTGCTTTCTATTTTCTTAAAATTTATTTGTTATAAAGTTCTAAGAGATCATTTAATTTTGCACACCAAGTGAAGTTTTGAGAGTTAACATATATATATATATAATATATATGGCATCATTCCGTCTTCGCGAGACGATTGGGAAGCTATGGATACTATGGCTTACGAGGCCGATCTCGGTTGCACTTCTCGCAGGAGAACCTTGACTCCTGGTTAAATTATTTTCCCTTCCGTAATGCTCCTTTTGTTGCAAGGGCTTTGTTCTCCTGCCTGTTTCACCCTTTCACACACCGCTGTTTGCCAGGTGGAACGCTGCCCAGTGAAGATCTCCCATTGTTGATTTCTATCCTGGCTTACCTTATATTTCTGTCATACAAGTCTTGCTACAGCTGATTCTTTGGAATAAGACCCTCCTTCATTCTCCTTTCATGACCTAACCTGCAAAGGCGCGCCTCGCTCAGATCGGAGATCATGCTATTCAGCCATCAAATGCGTAAAATGCAACGCAGAAACCTTTGATTGAGGATCTTAAATTTGCGCTCATGACAGGCATATTTGGTCTACACTTCACCGCCAAAAACAGGAGCGTACTGATCACACATGCGTGATGGGAGGCTTTGATTTTTTGCTTTTGTTGAGTTCAGGATTATTCTACACCCGCGTATTTCATTTATCCATAGCTGCTGCTGCTTAATACGATCGTGATTTTCAACTCTTCGTCAACCGAACGTGAGCCAGATATTTTAGACCAAGACATGTGCAGTTTTCAACTATCGGACAGATTATGGCCCTCAATAGAAGGGACAGTTTGGAAGGGACAGTGTCTCTCGCTTTCTGTGGACTAGTGGTCGGTCCACATTCTTTAAATGCCTGGGATCAACTAAACCTTCAAGACCAATATATTACGAAATTATGTGATTGGAAAAAGAAATGATAATAAAGACATGGTTTACATTTTATTTAAGCCACAGCTATTTAAGATTACATGTTTATTTTTTATCCGTTTAAAAAAAAGAAGATTGTGTTTCAATGACAATTTAAAACATCTTTATTATTCGTTGCTTTCAAACCCTTTGTTATCCTGTATCCATTTCCCAGTATTCTTTCTGGATAACTATTTTTTTTTTTTTTAAAATCATAGGATTGATAATTAAACAAATTGTTTGTTATAAAAGAAGATTGTGTTTCAATGAAAATTTAAAACATCTTTATTATTCGTTGCTTTCAAACCCTTTTTTATCCTGTATTCATTTCCCAGTATTCTTTCTGGATAACTATTTTTTTTTTTTTTAAATCATAGGATTGATAATTAAACAAATTGTTTGTTAGAAAAAAAAGTTAAATAAGAAGAGCACATTTTAAAGTAGATTTCACAATCTTGATTGCTCTCAGGTTTTTCGGACACTCTGCCCCCCTGTTTAGCATTCACGGGACGATGACGTCACGGCGACGCACGTGCTTCCGGTTCCTGGTCCCGTCAAGACCCAGCAGAGTAAAATGTTGCTCCGTGTTCCTTCTTGGCTGTTTGACTGTACTTGCCGGCGTGGCTGTCATGAAACAGCCAACAGCCCTGGTGGATTATCTGTCACGTCACGGGCACAGATCGGTGAGGTCTGAGTCGGCCTTGACCTACCTGGTGGCCAGCGAAGTGACAGTCGCGGACGTAGATCATTCTACTGTCACGGGGACTACAGTTGTCACGCGAGACGTCTCAAAGGATATCACCGCAATGACGTCACCACAAGTCAGGCGTAAAATTTCGCTGTCCAGGTCGGTAGAGACACACATTGAAACTATATAATAAGGGTTGTGGTAAACAAATACCCCCCATCCCCCTTTTCACATTTTTTAACCCGACTATACTCACTCAATTTTTGAAGGTACAAAAGATTATGATTGATTAATAATTCTTAAGGAAAAAAAATCTTTCAAAAAAAGTTCAACTATAGAATCGTGTGTTTGTTTGATTGTCCGTCCTCGTGTCTCTTGAGTCAATGTTTCATTTAGGCTCTGCACGTTACAGATAAGCGCTTTTCTGATCTTACACGACACATAAATGTATTAGCAAATTAAGCGTAATAGGGTACACACACACAAAAAGGCCGGAGAGATCTCTTTGCAAGGAGGAAGGTCAAACGGTGGAGGCCGTGAGAATCGGTTGGTTACTTAGTTTGTTACAATTAAGGAGTGACTTGGTTTTCATAGTGTGAATTTATTTCATTTTTAATTTTCCTTGTGTTCATTTAGTCATTTTTCTCCCTACTAGCTAGTAATGTACGAAATTCATGGTCAGGGGCGCACCTGATCCCCCTTAACCTACGCCGCGGGCACCAATAGGTTTGAACACAATTAAAGACATATTTCGCCTGTTTCAACAGACGGCAGCGCCCAACAAACTGTCATCTGTTTATAATCTGAATATAATCAATTAGTTAAATTATTCTAGAGATGTCGTAATAAGTTTTGGTTAAAATTCATACTCTCTTCCCCCCCCCCTCCCCACGCTCAAGTTCTATGACTTTTTATGCATTCTTTTATTTTCAATATTAATCGTGGCGCCCCACATTTGAAAGAGGCCAAACACTTCCGTGATTAGCCTGAAAGCTCCTATCTTTGGAAGGTTGAATATTGTAGGTTTAGCAGCACGTATTTTTAAAAAAATAATTTTATCCTTCAAACATTTAGGAGGTTCCTAATTAACATTCCTAAAAGAGACACAGCAGAAACATTAACGCGTTGCATGACTGATCAAGGCACCAGCGTATCGATCTGAAAGCGTTGCATGACTGATCAAGGCACCAGAGTATTGACCTTAAAGCGTTACTTGACTGATCAATGCACCAGCGTATCGATCTTAAAGCGTTGCTTGACTGAGCAAGGCACCAGCGTATTGATCTTAAAGCGTTACTTGACTGAGCAAGGCACCAGCGTATTGATCTTAAAGCGTTACTTGACTGATCAATGCACCAGCGTATTGATCTTAAAGCGTTGCTTGACTGAGCAAGGCACCAGCGTATTGATCTTACAGCGTTACTTGACTGAGCAAGGCACCAGCGTATTGACCTTAAAACGTTGCTTGACCGAGCAAGGCACCAATGTATTGATCTTAAAGCGTTACAGGACTGACCAAGGCACCAACGTATCGATCTTAAAGTGTTGCATGACTGATCAAGGCACCAACGTATCGATCTTAAAGCGTTGCATGACTGAGCAAGGCACCAACGTATTGATCTTAAAGCGTTGCACGACTGATCAAGGCACCAGCGTATTGATCTTAAAGCGTTGCATGACTGATCAAGGCCACAGCGTATTGATCTTAAAGCGTTGCATGACTGATAAAGGCACCAGCGTATCGATCTTAAAGTGTTGCATGACTGAGCAAGGCACCAGCGTATCGATCTTAAAGCGTTGCTTGACTGATCAAGGCACCAGCGTATTGATCTTAAAGCGTTGCATGATTGATCAAGGCACCAACGTATTGACCTTAAAGCGTTGCATGACTGATCAAGGCACCAACGTATTGACCTTAAAGCGTTGCATGACTGATCAAGGCACCAGCGTATCGATCTGAAAGCGTTGCATGACTGATCATGGCACCAACGTATCACATTTATGCTAAGAAAAAGGACCTGAAATACACGTATTCAATGAAAAGACAACTCGTATCTTTTTTTTAGGCCGGGAGTAATGTTACGTACCAAAAAACGTGGACGTCGATGGTTCATATTTGGTTTTTCAATTAAGTTCTAAACTATTATCTTCTTGTTCTATATCTTAAGGACCCACGATCAATTTATTGATCATTTTGGCTCCTATGCATGTAGAGGGGATTTGCAATGTGTATGTGCTTGGTGTTGATGAGGATATTTCACTGGTTGGAAGGGCTACATTGTAAGGGGGTTGGAAGGCCTGAGGCAATAGACGCGAATGTGTCAAGTGTAGTCGCCTCAACTGTTCCTTTTTAAAACCTTGTTCCAGTCCCTGATTGCCTTTGTCAGGAGTGAGTAGTTCCTATACTGGCTTCTAGCCGATATGAGCCTGAATTGCACGTCATGGCCTCGTCGCTGTCTTTGGGGAGAGGGACGAGTTTCTGTTTAATGCTGGAGCAGTGGACCAGGTCATTATTTATCTTGTACATCATGGAGAGCCTGGATAGTCGTCGTCGTTCCTCCAATGGTGACCAGCCCAGTGTTTCCAGCATGCTGCCCACACTAGAGGTATTCCTGTAGCTGTTCAGGACAAAGTGTGCTGCCCGTCGCTGGACCACCTCCAACCTGTCGATGCTCTTCTGTGTAAATGGGTCCCAGACTGAAGATGCATAATCTAAAACCGGATGGACAAAGGCTTTATACTACAATTTATAGGCTCTTTCTTTCACACAGGAGTTTCCAATCATTAGATTGCGCCTTAGTAACCCCATGATCTTGTTTAACTGGTTGCACACATTGTTAATATGCTCGTCCCAGTGGACCTCTCTTTGAATGGTAAACACAGGTACTTTACGGAGGAAACTGCCTCAAGTATATGGCCATGAAGTTCGTATTGGTAGTGTAGAGGAGTATAACTTCAGGAGACTGACAGTGTCTGGCACTTGGCAGGGTTAAATTCCATGTATCAGCACATCTCTCACTCAGCTAATCGATTGAGATCATGTTGTACGCTGGTTCTGGTCAGATCTGTTGGCGATCGTCCTATACATCGCGGTGTCTTCTGCGAACAGTCTTGCTTGGGATGTCAGTCTCTCGAGAAGGTCATTGATGTATGCTAGGAACAAACAGAAGCCTAGCACTGATCCCTGTGGGACACCTGACTTAACACCAATAAAGGAGGAGCTTGTACCGTCCACCACTACTGCTTGGCATCGGTTGCTGGGGAAGCTAGAGATACATCTTTTAACAGTGCCTTGGATCCCATATCTCTGAAGTTATTGTAGAAGCAAACTATGATTGACATAGTCAAATGTCTTTGAGAAGTCCATCACCAGCACGCCCGTTTGCTTGCTGTTTTTCAGATTTGTCATCAAGTCTTCTACAAATTCAAGGAGCTGGGTCTCACATGATCTATTGACTCGGAAGCCATGATGACAGCCATTGAGTATATTTTGGCTTTCAAGATGCTTCATGACTGCGCTTACGATTATGTGCTCCAATAGTTTGCATACCACATTGCTGAGGGATATCGGACGATAGTTGGCAAGGTCGGATAGCTCCCCTTTCCTGTAGATTGGAGTGAGTACGCTGTTCTCCAGTCTGCTGGAACATTGCCTGTGCACAGCGACGATTGGAAGTGCAGGAGTGATTTCTTTGGCCAATTCTTTGATTCTAATTTTTATCTATTAATGTCCTGTGTACTCATTTAATTAAAAAAAAAATTATATGTATGCCAAGAACATCATAATTTATAATTTCCGGAACAAATAAACAAATAAGATGATTTAGTTTCAGGGTGTTGCATGTTCTCACATGCACAGTGTTGATAAAACTTACTTTTACTGAAACAGGTTACAAAACCTCATTACAAATGTATTTAAATTGTTTATAATTGATTTGTATCATAATTAATGCATACCAATACAAAATATTTGTTTAATGTTTATAATTATTTTTTTTAAAATGTCTATTTTGTTACTTTTAAATTTTTAATTAAAAAAAAAATATAGCACTGTCTCTGACTCAAATTCATCTGCTGAAAACGAGGCTGGTGGCTTTCAACCAATCAACGGGCATCAATCATGGGTCTATTCAGCATTCTTCGAGTCGTTCGACCAGAAAAGACCGCTCATCCGGGTCTTGGCCTTGGAGATCAGCAGCGTAACAAACCCGGTGTTTTGTCACGTGACAGAAAGGGGGACGGTGACGACATCACGAGGGTGGAGACGAGTGATCCCCGATAGCCACGGCCAAAAGTTTGTCATTGTTTTGTAACTACTACATCACATTTGTAAATCTACTACATCACATCTGTAAATCTACTACATCACCATTTGTAAATCTACTACATCACCATTTGTAAATCTACTACATCACATTTGTAAAGCTCCTACATCACATTTGTAATTCTACTACATCACATTTGTAATTCTACTGCATCACATTTCTAAATCTACTACATCACATTTGTAAATCTACTAGATCACAATTTGTAAATCTACTACATCACCATTTGTAAATCTAATACATCATAATTGGTAAATCTACAACATCACCATTTGTAAATCTATTACATCACTATTTGTAAATCTACTACATACCTATTTGTAAATCTACTACATCACATGTATAAATCTACTAAATGACATTCTGTACCCCTTTCATAAGAGTGGGTATCACACCATTTCCCAAACATCACAAATGGGCGCAACTGGCCAGCGTCGGCGAGACTAAGGAGGGGAAGGGGAGTGAATGTCTACCCTTGTGGGTCTCTTCAAATCTGCTAGGGCCCTAATGACTGGAGGGTAAAATATTAGGTGATTCCCCATAGAGATTGTATTACTAATCTAGGTGATGGTTCTAATGAAGTCACTGAACATCGAGCTATAATTGGGGATTGAAACAAAACCAAACCTACAAACTAACCGGACTTTCCGAGAAGCTGATGCGCTGAAGGAGCTCTTGACAAAACAAGACGTTCACATCAGATACTCTTTTAAAATGTCTTTTTCTTTAGAGCAGCGTGTTCCAAACTTTGAAGTTTGCTGGACCCGTGGACACGTTTCGAGACCGCACCTGGTGCCGGCGCCAGTTTTATTAATTATATATTCTTCTCGTATGGTCATAAATATTTATGCAGCGCTGAACGGCAACGTATACGTCTGGCGGACATTTGCCGGTCCGCGGACCACCGTTTGAGGAACGCTGCCTTGGAGTAGTTTTGGTTCGGGCAGGAGGCCGCATGAAGTTTAATTATTTTATTTTTATTGGTCAATCCGCATGATCATTGGAAAGGGCGGCGATCGGAACGGCGTTTGGAAACAAGATCAAACCTGAGCGGTGAAGTAAAGTTTAACTTTGCAGTGGTTATTATTAACTCAGTTTGACAATGCGATTGTTAATTTTCAAAGACCGTCACAGATGATCGTTCACAATTTGTACATTGACGGAAACTTTAATCCAGTTCCTTGCACGTCTTGCGGCCCGGATTAAACTTTTCAGGCCGTAGATTGCCCCACCCCTGCGTTACAGAGTATTCACCTTGATCCGATGGAATACCTTCCAGAAATATGAAACAATCAAATGATTCAGGAGAAACAAAAATATAGAGCACAATGAATCGGATTTAGCTATTATAAATCCAATATCTAAGATTGCACATGAATCGACGTATACATACCTACGACGGAAACAAAGTATGTGAAAACCTAAAAAAAAAAAAAAAAAAAAAAAAAAAAAAAAAAAAAAAAAAAAAGACCACAACAAAACAGCGAACGTGTCGGCAAGAAGCCTTCGTCATCAAACAAAGAACAGTAAAAACAGAATAAAAAAAAACAACTTAGTTGAAATGAGGGCAGCAAGAGGAAGGTGCCTCACGGTCTTTGTTTTGGTACGTTCTTTTTTTTCTGATTTCCCCCATGCATGTACTCTGTTACATTCATTTCCTTTTGGTTTTGCTAATCTGATTGCAGTCTCCCCCACTAAATACTTCCCAACACGAACATGTCACATTGAAATATTAGTATCATCATAAACGTTTACTGGTTTTTACATTTTTTTGTTTACAAGGTACCATAGTGTCAATTATGAATGTGGCTTAACGGCAGGAAGTCGACCCGAGGTCTTGTCCTTGATCTTCAACGCTACGGATACGCCAACCAATCGGCTGGAAGTGATCTATCCTAGACAGCACGCGAGAAACTTCACCGTGTGCTACGCCGCCCTGCACCACTTCAACACACCTACACACCTCATCACGTCGCTGATGTACAACCGGGTGCTCGGCGCCCAGCATTTCTACGTGTACAACCACAGCGTCTCCAACACGACGGACGCCGTGCTGCGTCACTACCAGAGGCTCGGACTCCTCACCGTCATGCCGTGGCCCCTGCCCACCCTGGAGGTTTGGTACTACGGTCAGATTCTGGCCATCAACGACTGCGTCTACAGGAACACGTTCGTCTCCAGATTCGTCGTCATTCAGGACACGGATGAGTACATCGTGCCGAACTGTCACGGCTCTTGGCTGGAGCTCATCAACGCTGTAGACGCTGGCCGAGCCAAAGGCAAAGTCCCACCTTTGGGTTCCTACATCTTTGAGTCCAGCCTGCACTGCAACAATCCCAGGCCTTGGGAGTGGGAGAAGGTAAAGAAAGACTTCTCCATTTCGCCGGAGGATGAGAAGTTTATAAGGAGACACTCCCTGCTCCCGTTTATTCAACTCCATAGGATGGATTACATTTATAAATATAAGTCACGGACCAAGGCCATAGTGAGGCCTGAGCTGATCCTGTACGCCGGGATTCACTACACGCGCAAGCACAGGGAGAGGGCGCAGCTGACGGTGGTCAGCAATGACCTGGCCATCGTCCATCACTTCAGTAAGAAGCGCAGGACCCAGGTGGTCGACACGACCACGTTAAAGTTCAAGGATCAGGTATTTCCTATGGTCAAGAGATCCATAGAGTCGTTTGAGTTCCTCGCTGGGACAGTGACGTAAGTGTGGTGAAGTTGCCAAAGAGACGTCATGTTTGTGTTGTTTTGTTTCTATAGAAAATGACGACCAGTCTGTCTTTTTTTATCGTTTGTGAGGGGACATAGCATAGTTTTTAAAACAATATTCAGCCATGTACCCCCTCTCTCTCTCCGCTTGTGGACATTCTTAAAACTGTTGAAATCACTATTAACAATTTCCGCGCTGGAAACTATTTGACGCAAGAAAAATCAGAGTACAACATTCCATTTAAAAGAAAAGAAAGAATTAAAATGATTTTTATGACAATGTTAAGACCCGAACCTGTATTTATAATTTTATTTACATTTAGGTGCTGAATGTAAGAGATGATTGGATACTACGGACAATTTATGTTGATTGCGGGTACAGACTGCATATTGTGTAGATGCGTTTTAAAAAGTCGACGTGTTGACATTCTGTTAGCATTACCTAATTCATAGCGTTTTAACAATTCATGAAATGTTATTTTTTAAAAAGAAACAAAGAAAAAACTCATCGAATCATCTGCTTGATTTTATGTTTGTCTTTACGAAATGTAAATAATTTAAATTACATCTGATTTAAAGCACATTTATTGTCTACGTCTTTTTTCCCCCCTCCAAACAGCTCATTATCTCATTACAGCCAATTCACTGCGAGAAGGCAAAGTTTTGGCGAGAGCCGCTTGAGAACTGCTCCAAATATTGTGTGATATTAAGATTCAAATAGATTGTCTCAGATTGGCCTAGATTCGATCAAATTGTATCGGGTACATCAGAAATTGAATAATGCAAGGCCCGAAAGTATCTCAAAATTCTAAGAGTGTAATCTAAAGTTGATGTCTTAGATTCAAATAGATTGTCTCAGATTGGCCTAGATTCGATCAAATTGTATCGGGTACATCAGAAATTGAATAATGCAAGGCCCGAAAGTATCTCAAAATTCTAAGAGTGTAATCTAAAGTTGATGTCTCTTCTAACTATGGACCATTATTTCGTGTCCTACGAATGTATTTCTTATATATATATTGCTTCTGGCGTGTCCTGCTTTGTTTGCGTAACCGCCCTACCAGAAATTCACATGTTTTCTATTAAAAATACTGAGAAAAAGAGGCTGTCATGCGTGACATGTGAACTCGGGTAATTTATTTCTTTAGAGGGAAGCGACCATTAAATCAATCAATAAAAAGCAACGGATGTGATATAGGACTATCTGTAGGACTGTCTGTTGGAATTTTATTTGAAGGCCTATACCTCAAAATAGCCAGTTTACAAAAAACTGAACCCGATTAAGCCATAGTTTTAAGCATTTAACATTGATTTGAGAAGTCGCAATAGAAATCTAATACATAGTTTACTGATATAATGAAAATAAATCCATTTTTTGTTTGTTTGTTTGTTTTAAAGAGTTTGTTCTGATGCTCTTCCTTTTTATTAACTCTTTGGTGCCGAGAATGGACCAATTGGGCAAAAAAAATAATAAAAAATTAAGCGTTAAGTAATATATAAGGTCCAGGGTAAAGGAGAAGTGTAGATGGAAAATGTAGGTGGTATTCGGGAGAAACAAATTGTAGGTGGTATTTGGGAGAAGAAATTTGTAGGTGGTTTTTGGGAGAAGAAATTTATAAGTGGTATTTGGGAGAAAAAATTTGTAAGTGGTATTTGGGAGAAGAAATTGTAGGTGGTATTTGGGAGAAACAAATTGTAGGTGGTATTTGGGAGAAGAAATTTGTAGGTGGTATTTGGGAGAAGAAATTTGTAGGTGGTATTTGGGAGAAGAAATTTGTAGATGGTATTGGGAGAAAAAATTTGTAGGTGGTATTGGGAGAAGAAATTTGTAAGTGGTATTTGGGAGAAGAAATTTGTAGGTGGTATTGGGAGAAGAAATTTGTAAGTGGTATTTGGGAGAAGAAATTGTAGGTGGTTTTTGAGAAAAGAAATTTGTAGGTGGTATTTGGGAGAAGAAATTTGTAGGTGGTATTTGGGACAAGATGTTGTAGGTGGTATTTGGGACAAGATGTTGTAGGTGGTATTTGGGAGAAGAAATTATAGGTGGTACTTGGGAGAAGAAATTTGTAGGTTGTGTTTAGGAGAAGAAAATGTGTGTGGTACATGGGAGAAAAAATAGTTTCTTTGCACAAAGTTGATCATGTTGATGATAAAATGGAGACTAAAAGATCCGAGACCACTTGTTAAAGGCTAGATGCAGCCACTAAGTCTTCACGTTATGTTTTCTCACCCAACATGTTATCATTGACAGTCAAAAAAAAAATCCACTTATGTGGATTGATCAGGAAATTCAGGTTCCCGGGATCATAGGATTTAATTGGTAATACTGGACAAAGATGTCAATGGGAAATCTGGGAGCCATGATGAATGTGAGGAAATTAATAATTGAAAAGGGAATTAATAGAAGCCATTCTTAGGTCACTTTTAAGCGGAATTGTGCTTCCTTATTTTAAATAGAATTTCCCATTTATGTGACCTCTTATTTCTTGTGTAACACACGGTCACTGTTCATGGAAGACACTGTTGAGTTCTCGGCCTGTCGTCGTTTAAAATTTATCCTTTTATACCGCCTCTACATCGACACACCTCTTGTCCCCCCTCCCTCCACATGCAACAGCACACCTCTTGTCCCCCCTCCCCCACATGCACCCACCCCGCTTGCCCCCCTCCCCGACATGCACCCACACCTCTTGTCCCCCCTCCCCCACATGCACATACACACCCCTCACCCCTGTTTTATTTGAACCCTTTCATTCCGATGACGTCACATCCCAAACGACATGTGTAAAATCCCAACTTCTGCAATGAAGAGCTTTGTCATCATTGGTTGACAGGGAATGACATGTGTATGCTCAGCCTTATCAGGAAAAGCTACTTGACATGCATAAACAAACATCTAAAATCGTTTCCGAACTTCTTAGTGCTTTGACCTCTAGGTAACATTGCTCTGTTGCTAAGTCCAACTACCAGGTTTTTGCCCCATAGAAATTGAGAAACTTGTTGAGACGTGTATGTGGCCGGGGGTGGGGAGGTGGGTGGGGGGTTGGACTGTTGACTGTAATTGACTTAACATACTTCATAATACTCAGCCATGACACTGATTGCTCTTGTTCGTTTTCACAATTAAAGCGTAATTATTTAGAAACGTGACGCCTTTGAGTATTTGCTTGATGTTTATTGCTAGTCATTTTAAAAATGAGCAAAATAATGAATTTTTACTTTTAAATGTGTATCGTTGAGAGAACATAAAATGATGTCAGGGGAAGCCACCACTTTCGTTCTAGCTCCCCATGCCCATGAGATTCTCGGACTTTTTTTTTAATGACAATGAGAATGCTAGAACAGCATGGAGACAAGCGCTATACAATAATCAATCAGTCAAGCAAAACTTGTCTTCGCAAGAGTACAGCACAGATCCAGCGCCGTAGCTAGGGTTAGTACCGCGTGGGGTGGGCACACATTTTGGCCGCCACTTTCTCGAACCCCCTCCACACTATGCATTTCGCTGAAAATACAATCCTTCTGGATAAAGACAACAGTGCCACTCTGGGCGAACCACAACCCCCACCCTCCGAGCCACAACCCCCCACCCTGATGTCAAAAGAGAAAATGATCACCACATTAAAGCTGCTGATGTTCAGAGAAAACATAACCACCACATCCAGGCTGCTGATGTCAAGAGAGAACATCACCATCACATCCATGCCGATGATGTCAAGAGAGAACATCACCACCACATCCAGGCTGATGATGTCAGG